ATTAAACGTTTTGCGATTCACCCCCCAATGCCACCGTTTCGCACGTATGCACGCATATGTGGTGTACTTTGGGGGAGGGAGAAAGAGAATATATATATATATATATATATATAAGAAAATCCTCTGAAATAAGAAAATCCTTCTCAAACAATGTTAAGGTCATTTTATTGCTTTCCAAAGTCTTCTGAATATTTTTATGGATTGTAGTGAGCATATTTTGAAAGACGTATATATACGTCCGTGGAAATTTACGCAATGGCTAAGCGAGACGTTTATATACGCCGGTGGCAAAGAGGTTAAAGTCATATTGTAGCTTTAGCGTCAAAGTCTCGTATTATCGAATTCAATACATCGTTATTGTACGGAGGGGGGCGCGACGAAAATTGTGATTGAATATTGTGTCACAAGTATTAAAAGTTTGAGAAGCACTACCTTAATTAAATTATTTACTGGAATTACGATTTATTCCGCGTACAGTAAAAAAAATAAAAAATAAAGGATTGAGGTGACTCAGTCACCCCGCGCGACTGTTAACGTTAGTATCGAATCCGGATTAAAAGAGTAAATTTCGAAAATCAGGTTTCTATTCTCGCGCGCGCGCGCGATCAATCATTTGTTAATGTTTATTACAACACCCTACCGCAAAGCAGTTTATAAAATAACTTGTTTCCGTTGGTAAGTTGATTAAACTCAACGTCGTTATAAATCTACATAATTGCGTCGCTTAGAGCTAAAAAGTATTTTTTGAAATCAAATAATTTAAAATTGAAGGGAATGTTTGCTATTGATGTATCTTTTGTTAATTTGAATACGAAATAAAATAAATGTTTTTATGGAATAAACTTCCCTCTGCTGATTCTAGTCTCAGATTATCGTTTTGAATTATGCGGAAATGGACTACGTAAATTAAATTTATTCCAGCAATTAAATTTTACAAGTCTTGCAATGTGTTAAAGTATTAAATACCAAAAATCAAGTGCCTTCTTTGTTATCTGACAGATTATAATTACAAGATTTACCATTAGTAACTTGTAATGTAAACTAAAATATGACCACTTTGAAATGAATATACAAATGAATGTTCTAAAGGTAAATCATAATTTTCATTGTACGAAACAAATGAGAAATTAACAAAGCTATAAAATATTTTTTTTTCATATTCTCGCTAGTTTTAATGAAACTTTAAACTTAAAATCCATTTAAAAGAACCTCAATGAATAAACAATATTTTAAAGTGTGAATCGTTTCAAAGAAAAATGAAAATCGTATATCTTAAAACTCAGCGTCCAAATACAATAAAAAGTAGGAAAAACGCATAAAAATTTCAGCTAGTACTTTTTTCCAAAGAATAGTGTATTAATCTTTAAAGGAATATATTCAGTCCGTTTTCATGGTTGAACTTTTGAATACGAAGCCTGGTTCTATTTTGATTTATTTACTGTACGTAAATAAAATAAAATATTTTTGGATAAAAAATATTATGCATGCTGTTGTTTTGTTTTCAACATTATTCTTTTCCTTCAGGATTTTCTTTCAAGGAACACTTTCGTCTTTGATATTTCACTTTCAAAACATATCCAGCTTAAATAAATGGGGATGTCAAAATGTTTCTGATTTGATATCGAGTTATTCATCGTTTCAAATCTTTTACGTAACAAATAAATGTATTGCAATGCGTTTGTACGTTAAAGAAATTCGAATTGTTAGTTGCTGCTTTATTTGATTCCATAATAAAAATTATTTAAACATATATCAATCATCACATGTTTCGAAAAAGAAAAATTCATTTTGTACCCGCTCGTTTTATAACTGTAACTTACTGTTCAAAACAGCAGAAGTGCCCCCTAGCGACCACACATCTTCAGTAGAGGCCAGGTGAGGAGAAAATGTGGTCGCTATGAAAAACCGTCCATGTTCTTTGCCTATTATTTTTGTTTACGATGTGAGTTGCCTTTGTGTAACCTAATTTAATAAATAATTGTTACATTAAAGAAGATTTCATTGAATCCGCCTCCGCGCTTCCCACATTCAATTTACTTGTTGACCTGCAATGTTTTACAATTTTACTATGCATAATTATTGATTTTTTGATTAGTTAATTTCAAAATTAATTGCATCAAACTGCTAACTATAACTTTTAAATACTGATTTTTTTTAAAAAAAAGATGGTTAAAAGTTAATAACTTAAGATTTTATTATTTTTTGAAACAGAAAGGACTTTTAAGAAAGAAAAGGGGAGGTACTCAAAATGCAAGGTGTGGCTATTAAATAATAAGACTGATGCTGTAAAGCATTTATTTTGATTTCATACATATTTACTTATTGTCACGTTCAATAATCATCTCTTCTGTATTCCTACAACGTTCCATGCGCATCTTCTATTGTTTGTGCTGGAAATCTTCCTATGTCAGCTCCTACAATACGCGCTCCGCTTTCTCTTTTACAGCTTCAACGGATTCTAATCTTGTTCTTTTTAAGGTAAATTTCCTTTTAGGATACAGATAGAAATCGCATGACCTAAGATACGGTGACTATATAAAACAAATGGTCTAACACTAAAATGCTGTACTGAGCAAGAAACTTCTTGATAGAGACAATGCAGAATGAGCCGGCGCATTGTCTTGGTGGAGAACCCATAACTTGTCCTTCCACAATTCGGATCGTTTCTTGCTTATTCTTTTTTAGAGTTCAGCAAGAACTTGAAGGTAGTAATGTTGATTAATAGTTTGATTTTCAGGAAACCAGTAAAGGTATACAATGTCATGAATATCGGTAAAAACAATCATCATTGCTGTGAATTTTGATTTGCTCATTCTAGCAATTTTGGCTCTCGATGGATGGACTCTTCCAGTGCATGGATTGGCATTGATACCATAAGAGAAAAACCACGATTCGTCCCGCGTTACTATCATTTTCAATAAGTTTGGGTTCATTTCAATAGCAATCAAAGTGTCAGAGCAAACGTTTTTGTGAGCTTCTTGTTGTTCAAAGGGAGAATTCTAGGGATCTCCATCTTGCAGCATTAACGTGCTTTCCCATGCTGCCAATTTCTGTTATCCACCAAGGAATGACTCTGTACAACTCTGTGCATCCCTTGCTTTTTAATTGGGATGGACATCTTACAAATTTTTGAATAATAGAAATGAGCTCACACATCTGCGAGATGACGTAATGATTCTGGATTTTGGCAGAGTCGATGACATTATTAATTCTTTCCAGCATGTATTTCGATGTGCCATAAAAGAGTTTCCAGTTCGCCTTTTTCTGTTTAAAGATACAAATGTCGCCATCTTTTGTTGGAGAATTGGAATTTAGAACAATTTTAATCTCAATTGCTTTGTGGTCGGAGAGAGAATCATAAAAAGGCAATGCAGGAACAATTTCATATTGAAAATTTATAGAAAATGAAAATTACGTAAGTATAAATTAAAAAGAAAGACGGAAAAGAGAAATCAAATTAATCATACTTTCTGCATCCCCAAATTATTTTTTTCGAAAACATTTCAATGAACTATAAATTATTGATGGATGTTTAAATCATACAAATACTATCCTTTCAGTATAGCGATTACATTAATTTTGCTAACTGTGTTTTACTATACAATCACCTCTGGCAATTTTTCTGTTTATTCCCTTTTTAGAATTTTTTGAATTTACAATTTCTTTTACATATGGACATTTTCTTCATATAAAGACAAAATTAGGAATTTTTCACTTTTTTTGATAAATAGATTCAGCTTTAGAAAATGACTTAAAAAATTTCATTTAGATAAAACTATCCTCACAGAAAAATAATTATACTTCAGATTACGAAAATCTATGAAAATCTGAACAGAACTAAATCAGAGAGCGAATTTCCATGTAGCATATACAAACTGAATTCCTCAATACTTTTTTTACTTCTACATCTTATAAATTTTATTTTTATTCTAAATTGAATGTAGTCGAAGTTCATAAGCCGTGGTATAAGAAATAAATCAGCAATATATATAAAAAATAATTAAGTCAATTCCTACTTAGACCAACAACGAAAACTTTTATTTTAATTACTTTTGACTAAATAATTACAATTAAGGGAACATGGTATGATTTACGCAAAATTTTTTAATTTAAGGATTTTTAAAATTTTTTTTGGTTGTCTCCTATGTATGTATACTATGTTAAACAGATTTTGCCCTCAAAATTTCATAAAAAGCTAGTCATGTAATTTTTAAAGGAGAAAACTTAAAATTTGTGAAATGATTTTAAAATGCTACTCCTCCTACAAAAATGTACGTACATGCATGAAATTTGATTTAAAAGTACATCAAACTATGTATAATAAAAGGTGGTATGGGTTTTGCGTTAACTTGATTGGTATTCATACAATACTTCTTTTTATGAATGTTTATTGAAAATTCCTTAAAAATGTATAAATTCTGAGTTCAATTATTTTTAAAAAAATAAGTATTGTATTGATTCAAAAATGCATACCAACTTTTGTTACATGTACTATTAGCAATAGGTAAAAAAATTCAAAGCATTAGGCTCAATAGAAAAAAGGCCTTAGCATTTTAAATGAAGACAAACTAGTTATTTTATCTTTCTGAGATAAGCCAGTTTACAGTTTTGATTTGCCATAGAGATACGAATAAAAGGGAATGTGAAAGCTATTATATATCTGTGTTTTTTAAGTTTAGAGCTTTCAAATTTTGTGAGGTTATAGAAAAGTATATAAAAAATAATGTAGGCTAAAAAAATTAAATTTGATTTTTTGACCGATTTTGGTCAATTGAATCGTACTGAGTGTTCTTAATACAAATTTGTATATACATATGACAAAATCACAATATTAAATGGCAAAATAGAAAGAGATTTTCCTTGTAATTTTCCATTTTCCATTCTATATATGGTGTTGAACTATTTTTTGTTTGTTTGTTACGATTTATTCATTAATTAAATTTAATTATTCTAATAAAATAGTATAGTAAAAAAAGAAATCTTGTTCTCAGAAATTATACCATCACAGGAGGGATTCGAACCCCGATCTTTGGACTCGATCCAACGCACTATATATTGTGCTACAGGGACACAACGAATGATTTTTCTATTATTTTTGTTTGTTACTATTTATTCATTAATTAAATATAATTAATGAGTTGATATTTGAAAAAAACTGTATCAACATCAAATGTCATCCACTGCAAGTTTAAAAAGATATATTTGAACTTGAATGGATAAATAGAAAAATGAATTATATAAATGATAAATATAAAAAATTTTATTAACGATTTAAAATTTGAACAATATATATATATATAGGGAGAGTGTGAGCTAATAGTAGGAATTGAAAAAGGAAGAACAAGAGTATCTAAACACAATTGTGAAAGTGCTAACTGAGGAAGATTTCATAATGTTTTCTTAATAAATTGTTCTTTACGCGTTTCCTTTACAAAATTATTATTTTATTGTGAGAGAGAATTAAAAAATAATTACAATATTTAAAAACCGAGCATTATATGACAAAAGTATGCTATGTAGAAAAATTCACTGTCAAAAACTACCTTATGGGAAAACGTTGTTATTCTTGTGTTTTTCATACTGAGATACATCCGAAATACGTGAGATAGATGAACAGAAACATATAACACAAACACAGAAAAATACAGATTTTATTGCAAACGATCACCCTAGCAGAGAACAGAAGAGATACGCTGCTTTCCTTTCTAGATGGGAATCCGTTTCAGGCGAAAGTCCGATTTCTTTTCACGAAGATACATCCCTGCCTTACGCGGAATTCGAACCCACTCGATTACAAGCCGTTTATCATAACCACCATACTGGGTGTGGCGGCATGGGTACATGTATTATGCAAATAAAATAGCACTGATAATAAGAAAAAGTTTGTGTCACACCCCAAAATTGATTAAAAATCATAAACATTCGAAAATTTTGAAATATATAATACATTAGCCCAGTGTTTCTCAAAGTTGCAATATACGCGACACAAAATATTCAATCATAATTTTCAACGTGTTCCCTCATACAATAACTATGTATTGAATTCAACAATACTATACCTTGACCCTAAAACTGCAAAACGACTTTAACCTCTTAAGCACCCCCAGCGTATATAAAAGTCTCGCTAAGCCAAATCGTTAATTTCCTCGGACGTATATATACGTCTTTCCAAAGTATGATATTTTATTTGCAGAGCTATCCCTATAAAATTATTCCGAAGGCTTTGGAATGCAATGAAAGGACCTTGACAGTGTTTGCAAAGTATTTAATTATATATTTCAGATTATTTGCTCATCTTTATTCCTCCCCCCAATACATCCCATACGCGTGCCTACTTGGAAAACGGTTGGCATTAGGAAGCGAATCACTTAAAATTTATTCGGAAGTTATGGGAAAAATTATAAACCGGACAAATTATTAAGATAAGAGTTAATTTTTGTTTTTAATTACATATATGATAAGCCCATGGGATCACTGGTAAATAATAAACTTTTTCTTAAATTAGGATAGTTAAATTAATTATAAAATACATTGTGTAGAGAGAGAATTGATACATATATAAATATAATACATCATTGGAAATGTATATATTATTTTTTTGTTATGTCAGAATATATTTTGTTTGTCTACTTTCAGTAAATTAATATTTTTTTAAATAATCTTTTGTTTTTGACTTTTCAATTTGCTCGCGCCCCCCTCGTAGAGTTGACACGCCCTCCCCAAGGGGGCGCGCCCCACAGTTTGAGAAACACTGCATTAGCCACAATTACTTTATTTATCCGGAAGAAGCATTGATGCGAGAAACATATGTGAACAGATGAATTTGTAACCTACGTATGTACTTGAATCAGGTGGGGTTCTCGTCACTTAACCGTAGGACCAAAATTAAGAAATCCGTTGACAATAGCTTTGGTATTTTTTTTTCGTGCAGCGTTAAGAAACACTCACACGAAACTAACGTTTTCTGGGAAGAAACCTCAAACAATTTAAGAAGAGTATGCAAATTTACTTTTATTACAAGTCTGATTTCGTCAAAGGTTTGGTCCAGTTAATTGTTAATTAGTCTTTACAATAATATCAATTTATTTAGCAAGTAACGGCAAATTCACAAATTTATTGTAATAATTCTTTAGATGTAAAGAAAGATCCCATCATCTTTAATTATTAAAAATAACTTTGCAAAGTAATAGGTTTTTAATAAATAATTGAATTTGTCTTTAGTACAAAACTGTTGCAGTGTAGAACTCAGTGTTGAGCTTATTTAAGAGAGAGAGCTCTATACATTCACATTTTTTAAAAAAATCATACCCAAATTCCGTTATCCTAATTAAGAAAATTACTTATTTTTCATTTGTGCAGCTAGTATTCTATAAAGCAAGTAATTAGTACGGAACATCGTAAGTTTTCTAGTTACTGCCGTTAAATTTCCCACTCCAAGTATCATAAAGCCATCCACGAAAAAGTGTTTTAATAATAAATAGATGATTTCGAGGGATGTTGGATATTTTAGATGTTGTTCTTATGAAGCAATAAAGAGATCATAAGCTGTACAAAATCAATTGATCAAATGTTCAACTTAATATTTGTTACGAGGTAGGAGTTCGTGAAAATAAGGTTCTGGAACACCAAGGGTTTCTAATGTGGAAGAGGAGAGAAAATACTGCTAATTTGAATTGTTACAATGCAATCACTCGTGAACACTAATTGTTGATAGTTTTTTCTCCCTTTATCGTCTGTAGTGATCTTCAACATTTTACAACAAGAGCTAAGATGAGGTTACGTCTTCGCCATTCTTTAGGATATCTCCTTTAAGGCTGCCTTCGGTAAAAGTTCGAGAGCTCTAACTGAAATCGAATTACATTTTCAGTCAGAAAAATGACCCAATTTCCATGGAAATTTGCAATATATATAACTCGTACCTCTGTTAACAATATAGTGTTTTTAAAAATTACAAAACATGCCGTGAATACGCTCTTTTTTTATTTTAATACGTGAAGGCAAAGCCCATTTAACATTACGGTATAGGATAAAAAATGCGAAACACATTTTTTGCCAGAAAAAATGAATCAACTCGGTTAAAAATGGGAAGTATGATAAAAAATGCTGCTCTCTAAAGGATAATGAAGCTAGAATATCATATTAAGTTTTCATTTCTTTTATATCTGAAAAAATGCTCCAAATTCGGGTCTTATTCTTTAACATTAACCGAAAACAGCCTTAACTTCCCTCTCTAATATCGACAAATCTGTTGGGAGAGTTGTCGAACCCAATAATACCCAACAGGTGAGTACCATACAATGCTCCATGATTATTTTGAAAATGATTTCTATTGTATTCATGAGTTTAGTGAGGAGGAAGTCTTGCCAACCCTCCTATAAGCACTCTTCACCTTGTTGAAGTACAGAATTACAGAAGTACAGCCATTTCTTAAGTAACAGGACAGTTTCGTTAGCCTTACATATAAAATTAAAGACTCAGAAGTGTATTGTTCAAATTGTGAAACAAACCGCATTTCAATTGCCTCCAATAGTACATCGTTCTGGGTTCATTTTACAACTTGACAGTATCTGATTGCATGTGACTTGAATATTTTTGGAATGCTTCCTACTATTCAATTTTTTTAAAAATTAATATCATTAAAACATTTCCGGAATTAAACTTAAAGAAGACATAATAGGGCCCCTAGATTCGATGTGAAAATTCTGTAGCAATAGTAACGAATGCGTAAAATGTTAATACAAGATGGATTTAGAGCCCTATATTATGCCATGCGTAATACTTTTAAAGCATGTATCATAGTGTGGAAAAATATAATTAATTAGTGTTTGCGATTTTTGCCCCCACCAATTGTTTTAATAATATGTATAAGAATTGTATATTTTTAACTTCAAATGAAAATCAATTCATTCTTCTTTGTACTTTATGTTCTTTTTATTTGAAAAGAAATGCTCGCACCAATAAATAAATAAAATGTATTTCAAGAATGTGCTTCTTAAAGAAAAGACACACTGAAAAGAGAAATTTTATTTACTTCCAATTCTTAAACAGGACATCTTAAATGAGAATCATAAATAATATATATATTTTGTGATATTTGTAACAAGAAATATCTTTTATCGATAAAAGATGCCATGTAGTTCATCATTTAATATGCGCGTCTCAAATTACCTTAAAAAAATATAACTTCTGAGAACTGTACTTAAATTTCAGTTCTTTGTAAAGCCTAATTAAAGAAAAACGCTTATCGAATATGGAAAAGCGATGATTTTTTACAATCAATGTTATTTTTTAAGCGTAAAGCTATATTAAAAACATCCTTGCTCAATGCAACTAATAACCATCATCAGGTTCATTTTCCGATTCTTAGTTTTTGTACTTTGTATATGCCTCGCGTTTTCTTTGAGTTCTAATTAATATTTAATGATGGCATCGATCCAAAATACAGTAATTAGAACATAGGAACAAATGTTTTTACTACTCAAGTGTGAATACTAATTTTTGCGCTTAAATTTCTGTTTCTTTTCCAATATATTTTGTCCCTCTCTGGTATGGGAGATTTTTAATAAATATCGTAATTAATTGCATTGCGAGTAACAATCGTTTTTTCTTAACTTTCTTAAAATAATTTAAGCGAACCACATTTCTTATATTTGTATGTACCTTTTTTAGTAAACGGATTTTTTAGCTTTGAAATTGAGAGAATACAGAAATTCAAATAAAAGTTTCTTCTTATAATCATAAGAAAACATTCTCAAGAGAAAGCAAAAAAATTAAAAAGAAACGAAGTGTTAGAAATGCATGCTAGCACACACACTTCGACAATACTTTACCGATATGGGACTTATGACTTTTTACCTTCTTTACAAATGAGCTTCACACACACACACACACACACACACACACACACACACACACACACACACACACACACACACACACACACACACACACACACACACACACACACACACACACACACACACACACACACACACACACACACACACACACACACACACACACACACACACACACACACACACACACACACACACACACACACACACACA